GCGCCACATGAAGGTTTCGGCGCCTGCAGTGGCATCGGCGGAGCCTGCGCGATCGGCATCAACGGAGAAGCTGCTCCCACAGGACCGGCGGGCTTGTGCGACCTCTGCAACATGGAAGACATCCCCGACTTGCATCGCCACGGTCAAGGGCGCCTGACGCACTTGCTCCTGCAGCTGAACGAGCCGGAGGCGGCATCAAGGCGATGGTCAGCGACACCATCGCCACAGACCTGCGCACTCGCATGCGGCGCGCTCGACAGAGGAAGAGCGCCGAGCGGCCTCGCCGCGGACCGTGAGGGCCCTACAACACGAGGCGAGCCTTCCTCCCCGCTCAGAAAGCTCAGAGGAGCCCATGGATGCGGTCTTCTCGTTCTCCTTCACTGAACAGGTGTTGATACCGTTGAAGCAATCTTGGTGCGAGTATCCTCGTCGTTGTTCTTGCGATTGTTGACATGATGATCGTTGTTATCATTGTTATCATTGTCAGGTAGCAGTGCCATCACCACCGCCGCCGCCTCACCACCACCACCGCCGCCGCCGCCGCCGCCGCCGCCACCGCCACCGCCACCGCCACCGCCACCACCACCACCACCACCACCGCCACCACGACCACATATCCCCAACATTAGCACCACCACCATCCAATCGTCTTCATCATCATCATCATCGTCATCATCATCATCATCATCACCAGCATCGTCATCACCGACAACAACAACAATCTCATCACAGCCAACAGCATGATCATCATCACCTTCATTACCATCCTTCTCAGCGTCGTCATTTTCGTAGGACTTCAGCAGGAGCAGCAATGGCAACTCCTTCCTGAACCCCTCGAACCTAAACCCTAAACCCCTCGAGGTCCGGCGACAGCAAAGCCGCAGAACAGTTAGCTTCCGCGGCCCAGATCACGGCCTCCAGCTCCCTGGTGGAAAGCTCACGGGAAGTGCAGAAGAACAGGAGTATGAGCGTTCGCAGCAGCAGTAGCAGTAGCTGTATTCGTAGCTGTAGCTGCAGCTGTAGCAGTTGTGGTAGGAGTAGGGATAGGGGCAGGAGAAGTAGTGGTGGTGGTGGTGCTTGTGTTAGTGGTGGTCGTCGTCGTCGTCGTCGTCGTGGTCGTCGTCGTCGTCGTCGTAGTAGTAGTAGTAGTAGCAGCGGCTGTTGTTGTAGTTGTAGAACAAGAAGAATAGGAACAGCAGTGATGACAACGGTACCGACGACAGTACCCGAGTGCTGGTAAGAGCTACATCAAGCAACACCAGGAAATTTCACCCAACAATAGTGATCACGAGTGCAAGGCAGAAGGGAAGGTAAGAAGGGCCGTAGCAGTACCAAGAAGGAAGAACGATTCTATTCGGGCTTCGCAGTTTGGGCGCGTATAAAGGTTGGTAGGGATGAAGAATTCAGGGGGCCCATGGATACCCTAAACCCTAAACCCTAACATCTAGAAGCCTGAACCCTCCAAGTAGACTCTAACATCTAGCAGCCTGAACCAGGTAGCAGAGAGTCCCACGAGCAGCGCAGTGTCCATGCAGTGCACAACGAGGAGCGGCTCTCGCAGCTGGTAGAGCAACTCGGCGTCCTTTGTGTGTTGGCTCCCGGGCTTGTTTTTTCAGTGTTTTTTTTATAAATCTTGTTCTGCTTAGCTTTAGTTTCGTATGGTCCCACGCAAGCTCGCTCATCTCTCTCTCTCTCTCTCTGTCTCTCTCCCTCTCTCCATTATACTCGAGTATATATGTATATATATATATGTATATATATATATGTATGTATGTATGTATGTATGTATGTATGTATGTATGTATGTATGTATGTATGTATGTATGTTAACTGATTTTTGTCTGGAGGGGGGGAGGCCTTCGGACTCAGGAAATACGCGCCTAAGGCTCTTGACATGTACGTGTTTAATATGTAGGCCCGAATCAACTACAAGGGTTCCGTCAGCGTATCGGGTTTCAAAATATGAACAGAGGATCTGAAGAATTCGTCATAATACACCCTTTCCAGTACCAAAGGCGTTGTGCTCTAATGTACCCTAAACCCTATTGAAACGCTTACGGCTCCTGTTTTTTGAGGAATGCAAGGCCGGCGGCCTTGATTTGCACAGGGCTTTGGGTTATGGTCAATTGTATTTGTGTTGGTACCATATAGTGAACCCCAGAACGTTGGAACATGGATTTGGGATGATTGGTGCTGGGATTCCGGATACTTTACCTTACGGGAATGAGGAGAAAGATGTTCCAACTTTCTGGCTTCCGCTGTAAGAGGGAATCATCCTTCAGGCCTCCATAACCTCAAACCCTAAACCCTAAGCCCCAAACCCCAAACCCTGAACCCTAAACCCTAAACCCCAAACCCTAAACTCTAACCCTAAACCCCAAACCCTAAACCCTTCTCCTCACGAGCCCCAGTGCTGAAAAAGACTTCCGGGGCGAAGTGTCTACGGGCAACTGGAGGGTTTATGGGGTCTAGGGCTAGGGCTTATCCCTTCCGAGACCCCCCGGGAGGATCCCAAAAAGTAGATCCCTTAAGGGGGTTCCTATAAAGTAGCCTTTAGTAGTGAAACCCTAAACCCTAAACCCTTAAACCCTATAAAGTACTCTTTAGCAGTTAGGGTCCGATCGTCCCAGGAGTTTAGGCTTCAGGGCGGAGGGCTTACGGCCTTTTTGTATTGGGACCATGCTACTTGTTAGAGGCATTGTGGTAGAGCTGGAGACTATAAGACGAAATGATTTATCCCGAAGCCGTTGTTTTTTGAGGTTTCCTGCTTGAAATTGAGTAATCGGAGAAATGGGCATCCTTATTCTAGTCATGGATTGGCGGGATACGCGCGACACCTCACATCCAAAAGCCCCCCATGCCGAAAGCCCCATACCCTACAGGCCAAACCCGCGAGCTGTCAGAACCCTTAGCCCTAATTAAACCCTACCTACACCCTAACCCTAAACCTTAAATCCTAAACCCTAAACCCAAAACCCTAATCGAGAACCTCCTAAGACCCTTCAGGTATTGCCATATAAACACTGTCAACATCCTTTCCGGATACTAGAGAAGCCCTGACGCGCAGCTTTAGGACCCGTTAAACGTTTAGGGTTTAGCGTTTAGGGTTTAGGGTTTAGGGGTAATATGGCCCGAAGTTAAAATATACTGCTGTACATATGGGGCCTGTAATCTGTTCTTTGCTGGAGCGCCAATGCCCCAATGCAGGGCCTGAGTACTTAGCAAGAGTATTTCCCTTATAGACCATGTCGAAATTAACATAAACATAAATAAGAGCATCGATACATATCTTCGTAGGTACCTCTACATTTATGTATATGCGCACAACGCACACCCGATAAGTAATGCCACTATGTAAACCCCTAAACCCTAAGTCCTAAAGCCTTAAACCAAAAAAGCCTAAAGCCCTAAAGCCTTGAATCGTAAATTTGAAAGAACCCAGGCTCACCAGAGAGACCCCGAGAAAGCCAGAAAACGACAAATAGGCCAAAGATAACAAACCAAAGCGCCCCGGTGAAGGGGGCTGGGGCATTTAGGTTTCCTTTAGGGCGTCTACAAGGATTGTTTTCTAGAAAGTCTCCTTGAAAGCCTCAACCCTAAACCCTAAACCACCCTTAACCCGAGAAGGCTTGTTTGGGGTTTCATCGCTTCTAGAGTTCGGCCCCAAACCCTAAACCCTAAACCCTAAACCCTAAACCCTATAGACCCTAAACCCTAAACCCTACAGATCCTAAACCCTAAACCCTATAGACCCTTAACCCTAAACCCTACAGATCCTAAGCCCTAAGCCCTATACACCCTTAACCCTAAAGACCCTTACATAAAGCAAGCGCTCAAAGAGCCCAGGAATGCCAAGGTTGTCTCGAAAAAGGCTCGGACCTGAAGTTTCTGTGAAGTTTAGGGTTTAGGGTTTAGGCCTCTGGGTGTAGGGTTTAGGGTTTAGGCCTTTGGGTTTAGGGTTTAGAGTTTAGGATTTAGGGTTTAGGGTTCAGGCCTTTGGGTTTAGGGTTTAGGGTTTAGGGTTTAGGGTATAGGGTTTAGGCCTTAGGGGTTCGGGATTTAGGGTTTATGCACGCGGTCTCTCGGACAGTCTCGAAGCAA